CGCTCCGTTACGTACGTTACGTTATGCCACGCTACATTGCGTTACGTTACGCTACGATACGCTACGTGGTTTAACGCTCAACCATCGATACACTAAACTACGCCCCAACGAGCCTTGGCTGCGCTCCAGGCACACCGTGCGCATTGTTGTCAAGTGAGGTGGGGGAGATAAACCGGTGCATCGCGAGGATCTTGAAGAGCCGGAGGGTGAGGGGGAGGAGGTGTAAGGAGGAGCGATGCGGAAATAAAATGGACTTGGCGCTAGCTAGCGCTGCGTGATGAGACGTAAAGGGAGAGAGAAAGAGAGAGAGAGAGAGAGAGAGAGAGAGAGAGAGAGAGAGAGAGAGAGAGGGAGATATATACGCGTTGAGGAGGACTATCTGGATCGGCAGCACGCCTTTGAACTGGAAATGGACTGCGCTGAGGGCAGCCCAAAAGAAGACAACCTGAAAAAGTGGCATCCGGGAAGTGCCAATTGCGGCTTGTCGCAAGGGCTTTATGACAAACAAGGACAAAGCGGGAGGATAGGCGGGAAATTAGGCTTAGGCTTGGGCTTAGGCTTCGCGTGAGGCTCAGGCTTAGACTTAAACTTGGAGCTTTGCTCAGACTGAACTTCACTGCAGTCCTCATCGTACGCTCGGCAGAGCACGATAAATCCTTCCACTGTTCAGCACCAGATTCCTGAAGGCAGCTCGCCGACGGTAGAAACGGCCAGATCAGGAAGTAGATTTCGAGCCGCCGGGCAGCTCTAGGCTTCAAGCCGGGGTGGAGAACCCGTTACGGTGCCATGAGGGCATGACATGCTGGCAAGGATTGACTTTTCGTTCTTCGACAGCAGATCCTGGTGAAGCTGAACTTAATCGGGAAGTGGACTTTAGGATCAGGCTCACTCAGAGACAACAACAAACTGCAAAAAAAATTGTTTTCCACAAATGGTTTCTGCTACATACCCTCTTGCTAGAAAACAGCTCGAGTAATTTGCGTCACGCAAAGGCCCCGCCTTGTACCCAGACACGATTAGAAAAACCTATTACTCAGCCGGAAGCCACGATATTTCGGGATCAAAGCAACGCTGCAGAAGCACAAGTTCGGTCCGTTCGACCTTCTGAATATCTTGAATCCCATGAACGCTTCCTAAAATTAGCTTTCGTTAACCTAGGGTGCTCCGGCAGATGTGCATCTACCGAAATTTCCAAAACCTTCTGGGTGCCGACCGAAGTTTAGAGATTGTTAAAGCGCAGGTTCGAACCGTACAGCTTCGAAAGCCTCAATCGCAAGTACAAAAAAGGATGGAGCCACAGGTTCGAGCCGTACGGGTTTCAAAACCTACGGCGAAGTTATGCGTTGAAACGTTTCAAGCACAAGTTCGCGCCGTGCAAGTTTCAAAACCTGCTGTAAAGTTATGCATGAAAACGTTTGAAACACAGTGCGAGGCGTACAACTTACTGTACACGTACGTTCTCATGTCAATCCTTCGTTCTCCTCTGTTCCGTACGTCCACCTCGAAAATACGGACACCCCCCCCGGGAGGAGCTCCCGGTAGCTCGCCCTCTCCGGGGATCTGGAGGATCGGACTTGATCCTCCCCCTCCTCCCTTCCCTCCACCCTCACCTTTTTACGGCCGCTGCCCGGATAAGGGATCTGAGGACGAAGGAGGACGGCTTGAGCAGCGCGGCGCCCGGAAAATCACTTCCTCATTGTCCCGAAATTCCAGTCTCCAGAAGTGCCGCGACATGACTTTCTGGAAAAAATTGTTTGCGCGGGTTGTGGTGATTTCTGTCTGCGAAATTAGGGGATCAAGGATCGGGCCGGCCTGGGTGCGGCCTAAGCTTAGGCTTGACTCACCTTTGACTTGAGGATGGCTTTGGGGTTCGGCTTAGGCTTTGATATAGCTTAATTAGCTAAAAATACGCATGAATAATGTGATGAATTTTTTGCGTAATAGCGGCTTTTCTTTCTGCTGCTGCCCTGCGCCAAGTCGGTCTTATAGCTGAAACCGGGAATCTTCAGAGATTTTTAACTTTTTAACCCAATCAGCCAGCAGTTCATTCTCTTCTTCAAAGATTCAAAAATCTCTGTAGTTGCCCTTGCCGGAACGAAACTTGTTCAGAAATCGTGCTCGCAAAAAAAGAATTCGATATTTTACCGGGCCCAATTACAGCATTTTTACATCCAATCGCATCGGTAATTGGCTTTTCGCCAGTTTCGTTATATTCCCCAGGGACCTCTGCTTTCCGGTCCCAATTAGCAGTGCCCAAATTTAACATTTTGTAGCTGCACGAACGGTTCCGGGGTTCGTTTTGGATAGTTTTTTTGTCGAAAGCACAGATTTTAGGCATTGGAAAGTTCGGAAAATCCGGAAATTCGAAAAAAATGTCGCATTTAAGACGCTCGAACATCCGGAAACTCAAAAAATTTTTGCAAAAACACAAATTTCATGCTTTAAAATGTCCGGAAAGTTCAAATAATCCGGAAAAATCCGGTTTTTATCGCGGAAACAGGTCCAGAGTTGTGCTTTAGTTTGATTGTAGCCCCGGGTTCGTACTAATAATTCGATCGGCGATGCCATTTGAGCTGTGTCTCTGTGTTGCATGTCCGCTCGGCTACATGAGAACGCGGCGCGAAATTATGAGTCGACTGCAAAAAGTGCATAGTTTTCTAGGCAGGGGGTCGGCTTTTAATCCGGATTTTTCTAGTTTTTGCGGTCTCTTGCCAGTGGTCTTATTTTATCATTTTTTCCTATCTGCACCGCATTTTTTTCATTTTTTACACTCCAGACTTTTTCGAGCCAAATTTTTAGTCCAATTTCCAATTCTTAACGTAGCTTTTTGGCTTATTTAAAGCACAATAATGGTGTTTTTCGATTACGTTTTTATGCTGTGTTTTTCAAGTTCCGGCGCTTTATCTGTTTTATTTTTCTTTTTCTTTTCCGTCAGCTATTTTTTTCCTTTTTTTTTGCTTTTTTCAGCCTTTTCAACCTGAACTTCTTATTCCCGATTTTTCCGATAAGGCTCTATAAGTCGCGGACTCGAAAGGACGCGATTCGTACGTTTCTCTCTCTCTCTCTCTCTCTCTCTCTCTCTCTCTCTCTCTCCCCTCTCCCTCTCTCTCTCACTCTAGCTTTATCACTCTCCAAACAAACCAATAAAGCAAAAATGACAAGTTTCTGACCGTTCCAACTTTTGAATTCTTTCGGTGCACGTCCCGAGCACGAGGAACAGTTTCCGCCGGGGCCCAAAAGAGCACCAAATTATCGGGGGTGCACGGGTTCCGATCATTTGATATTTCCGGGGTTCTTTATTTTCACCCCCCGGTAATTCTATAACTCGTAGCGCCACACGAGTAACCTTTTCTCAGCTTTCGACAAGTTGCCTGGCCTCACAGCCGGGTAGGTAGCCAGCCCCCGACCAACGAAAAGCGCAAAAGCCTCGGGAGCAAAAGGCGTCATTGGCCCTGAGAAATTCGGCGTCACGATTTTTCCGTTTCCTCGAAATGCTAAATGCAGAACTTTCATCACCGGCAGCGGGATATTGCGTCGATTTTGACGATTTAGTAATACGGGCCGAGTGAATAAAACAATAAGGACGGTTTTGGGTGGAATAAAGGCTGCGTGCGTTTCTGAGTAGCCGTTTTCTAATTCAGAAGGAGGAGACTCAGAACTTGGTTGTAAAAATTCTATAAAACGTATGCATCTTTTTTCTTTCTATACTTCATTATTGTTGTTTTTTGAAGGGGTTCTGATGCAAAAAAAATTCTTTAAACGCCTCGAAAATTGAATTTTGGGAATTTTGAAATAAGAATAACGTAACAAGCTAAATTTGACATAACCTTTATTTCGCCTCACATCGAAAATCTTCCACAAAGTTTATGCAAGATGAATTTCAAAATTTCTGTATTTTTCCCTTCTAAAAAATAGCACCACTTTGTAACATTTTTGAAAATTGTTTAATTAATTTTTTCATCAGTTTCTATTAAATTTTACGTCATCAAAAATCTGTTGCAAAAAGGCAAAAAATCAACAAATAAATGTTTGTAAGAAAAATGGTGAAAATTCTCTAGAGATTAGAATTAGATTCAGAAGTTCGCAATAAATTTTCAACATAAAAATCCGCTACAAAACCGCGAAAAAATAATAAAATTTAAAGTAAAAATAGTTAAATTACTAAATCAGTAAATAGTTTTTTAAAGTAAAACTCAAAACTATCTTGGCTCCTTTCCCATGTAAATTTATATCCCAAGTACATCCCCATGTCCTCTGAAAGCACAAAATGTTCACCACGCCCAAAGACAATCGCGGGAAAGGAAAAATTCCCTGAAAGATCCCGCTACTACCTGAAAATTCCCACCAATTGGTCACGTGGCGATCCCGAAAGACCCTGCTCTTCTATTACCCAATTTTGTGATTCCCCCGACCCCCACCGCTACCGTATGCCCCGATGCAACGGCAAAAAGTGTGTGTGCCAAGGAGTGCCAGGGGGGGGGGGGGTTGATCCTATTGCCTGGGGGCAGCTACCGTATGCCAGAGAGGGAAGAGGCGGACCCAAAGCCCAGGCTTTTCCTCGGCTTCTCCCTTCACAGCACGGGATGCGATCCGGATTTGAGCATGAGCCCTCGGGTTTTCTGATAATTTCTGAGGTTTTGGAAACTTCTATTCGGATTTCTTTATTTCTGTAGCTCTCCCTCGCTCTCTCTCATTCTCTCACTCCCTCTCTAACTCTCTCAGCCTCTCTCTCTCTCTCTCGCTCTCTCTCTCCTACGCGCTTTAGCTTTTTCTTTGGAACGCACTTAACAATCTCTTACTCGCTGTTTCTACCCCTGGCTAATTTTTAGGTTTTTATATCCGCCTCTTTTTCGCTCCCTCGTCACTCGCTTTTTGGTTCTTTCGCTTTGCACTCTCTCTCTCTCTCTTTCTTTAAATTTTTACCATCAATTTTTGATTTTTGCAGAAAACGACACCTTGACTACGTCCACTCCGCAGAACGTCCTCCCCTCGGTGCGAAGATGGCCCTGACCTGCCTGGCATGCGGCCAGCGGAACGCCCGGAAGTGCTACGGATCAATCGCTTGCAAGTAGGACAAATTCTGGATTCAGATTTTTTGATTGTCGTCGTCCGCAAATATTGAATTTTCCTTAGCGTGGCGCCATAATTCTGGAGAGTTCTTGACCTCAAAATTCAGAATTCGATCGTCAAACCCTGTAAATTCCTGATGATCGTTAGTTTCTGGGTGTTAAATGGAGAAAAACAATCCACGAAGATTACGAAAATAACGACGTCACGATTGTATGAATTTTTTTGCTCAAAGAATCTAGAACTTCGCATTCCTGTTCCTATTCGATACCTCTTGAAAGCATCTGCATCCGCACTTTTCAGCGCCTGCAAGATCTTCTTCCTGCGAACGACGGCAAAAAACGCGACGTTCACCTGCTTCAGTGGAGGGAAATGCGTTTTTCGTAAGTTTTCAAGTAGCGTAGTCGCTACAGTAGGACTAGGTATTTGGATTCAGGGAATCCCCCAATGATCGTATCGTGCGAATTTCGAACTTTCAGCTCGTGACGACTGTCGGGCCTGTCGATATCAGCAGTGCCTCAACGCGGGGTTGATTCCGAATAGTAAGTTTGGGAAAGTACGGGGTGTACGGATGACGTTGACTACGGTAGTCTCTCTCTCTCGCTCTCGCGCTCTTTCTAGTTATCTCTCGCGTCGCTACCGTATTCAAAAAGTAATAAATGTTGCCAAAGGATTTACTGTTTGGTGTCGTCGCCAAATGTGACGCGCTTGCCGGCTCGTTCTTTCGCTCACTCTCTCTCTCTCCCTCTCTCTCAGTCTCTCATTCTCTCGTTACCTTACACTACTTTAGTCAAATTCTCCTTATTTTCCTTTCCAAAACTGTCATCTTTGCAGTCGTCGCCCGACGCGAGGGATGCACGCTACGCACCCGAAGCCCTCGATCTCCTCAATCCGTAGCCTCGACCTCAGCCGCCTCATCCTCACCGGAACCTAAAGAAGAAGTCGACTCCGTCCTCTGCACTGCCTTCCTCGACATGGTCAGCCGATTTCTTCCTCTCAAGTAGCCGCTGGCTACCGTAGTCATTTCCAGCTTGCCAAGGCGAGGTTCAGGATTTGCAGGGTTCCGTCCGCTTCGACTGCACCCCACAGGCGTTCGTTGACAGCAATGTGGAGCCGGTGAAGGCGTTGTTGCAGTTGGAAGCGTAGGTTTTAAACGAAGCGAAAAGCAAGGGACAAAAGGGTAGGCTAGCAGAGGTTCTTTGACAATTAGGGAGCAGGCAGCGTATGAAGCGCTAACAAGGTTACGAGGCTACAAGGTAACAGACGAAGCGACATGGCTACATGGAGAGGCCTGCTAGCAGAGGACCTTAGGAAATCACTCCCAATTTAGAAAGATCATAAGTCGGAAATGTACGATGCAAGCTAACAGAGGTGCTTAGAGAATAGTTTGTTTTGTAAAATAGTACTGACACTGGAATGGTAAGATTTGTAAGACTCGCTTATGCTTTCGTATAAGGTTTGCCACAATTCCAAAGCCCAGCAGCACTTTGGCGTTAAATCAAGCCGGTTTTGAAGGCTGACCAGCACAGGTTCATTGGGAATCGCTCGACATGAATACGAGCAAAAGAAAAAGAGTGCTAAAAAAACTTCTGGAAATATAAAAAATAAAACACCAACTAGTTAACTTTATTCAGATTCTGTAATGGCGACGACGCCGACTGCCCAATGGGCAATTTCACGTACAATCTGGATTTATGCTTTGAAGACGTGCTGAGGTGTCCGACGTCGTTGTGTCTGCGGATACCGGTTAGTAATTTCCTTCTGATTTCCGCTTCGTCTCTAAGTTTTTTGAGACTTTTTTTCATGAATTTGGTTACATTAAACATAAAGTATCGTCAATTTCCGACCCCCAAAAAAATTCATAAAAGCCCTTGAAAACGAAAAATCGTCTGTAGTCACCGTTAGGATACAGTAGCCCCATTGCGAATTTTCATGGCTCGAAATATGCTTTTTTTTTTCTTAAAAGCCTAAAATTAAAAACTTTAGACTTAAACTTAAAACCGTAAATTAAGCAGAAAACTTTTGCAAAGCATTCTTCTCACTTTTTGCAAAGCTACGGGTTTTTGAAATGCAAATAAGGCTATCGTAGCCATCAAGGCCCCTTTAAAGTCGGAATCAAGTTTCTTTTCTCCAGCTGCAGGTGTAGCTTTCACGCTCTCTCTCTTTCTCGCTCTCTCTCTCGCTCTCTCTCTCTCCCTCTCTCTCTCTCTCTCTCTCTCTTTCTCTCCCTCTCGCTCTCCCTCTCGATCCCGAGACCCCATTTTTTGCCAATCTATTCCCGTCCCGTTTTTCAACCACCCCTCGTGCCCACGCGCAGCAGAGTTCTGTAGGGAAAAAGCTGCCCCCCCCCAGAGGAAAATCGGGACCAATTTCCAAAAAGCGGGGGCTTAAAGCGATTGGCTTTTTACATGCCCCCGGGCAAGAGGCAGCTTGTTACATTTTCGGCTTGTCAGCGCGGGGCGTTGGGCCGGCACGAAGTTCCACACTACTTTTTCTGCACTTACTTTGCTTTCCTGAATGCCCGCTACAAGGGGCTGGGTGCCTTTAAAAGGCGGAAATTCGGTTAGCTGACCGCCGATAAGTGGTGGAAGCGGGTGTGTGTGTGTGAGAGAGAGAGAGATAAAGCCGGATTACTACATCAGAAGGCAACACAACGGCATCTAATTCGATCGTTGGCTTTTAACAGGGTGAACTGTTGGACCCTGCCCCTACCCCTGGATCTGGGGTCAAGTTGTGCCGGGGTAGGAAGCTGGCACTCGCTAAGCCGAATAAAGGGGCTAGAATGATCTTGGAATATCCGGGGACAAGAAGGAAAGATTACCGTAGCCGAGGTTCCGGTCTCCGGAATGGATGCATGTAGGGTCAGAATGTCTTGACATTCACATTTTGCAATTTTTGCCTGGATTACTACTGTAACTGCTACTTGTAGCTCAATTTTGATGTAAGGGCTAAAGACCAATTTCGGGCATTTTTTTGTGGTGCGCCCGACGTCAACCCAAAAATCGAATTTTAAGATTTTATGAAGGCGGTTTCCTGATTTGTTTTAATCCGATTCGGATCCAGTTTGGAGATGTAGAGCGCGATAAGAAGAGCGATAGAGGGTGAAAGATAACGACAAAGAGAGTTATAGAGAGAGAGAGAGAGCGCGCGAGCGTGCGAGAATGAGGGAGAGCGATAGTAGGTGCTAAAGATACGATCTAAAACTAATAAAGCCCGGCTTTCATTCTATCTTGAAATTGGCATAATGGCATGATTCGCCCTGTTCCAAAAATTTCAGGAAACCGTCGCTCGCACAGGAACCTAGAGAATCGCAACGCTCTAATTTTGGTTGCGGAGTTTCGTGATTCCTTTCGAAATATCGGATGCCATTTTTCCCCCGAAACCGATTCTTGGTCTCTCATTCGACATTTAGGCCAATCCCGCCTTTCTGAGGATAGTGTTCTCTTTCTCTCTCTCTCTCTCTCTCTCTCTCTCTCTCTCTCTCTCTCGCTCTCTCTCGCCCCGGGTTTCTTCAAAAATCAGCGCCCCGCAAAAGTCGGTTATTTTCCCCGCGAGGGGTGGTAGTACATCGCGCCTTGTGACCATTTGTGTACGCTATAAACCGATTGTTGCCTGATGTAACGGTGGCGATTTTCGCTTAAGCTCACCTCTACGGCTCCTTCCAGCTATCGAATCAGATTCGGGACCAAATAATGGAAGAAGCCGCTCAAGGGGTGGGGGGGGTTGCGAGAAATTTATTTTCCCCCGACTTTCTACTGGGTTTTTTGAATGGCCTTTGTCCAGCCAGGGGACTGCTGAAAGAACAGGGTGCGTGGGCCGTAATATAAGATGTAATATGCCCCCGTTCGCCGGGGCGATGAAATTAGTCGGATTCGGAATGGGGTCGCAATTTCCTTATTTATGCCGAATGAGTGGGGGATGAAGCATAGACAGAGTATGCTGCAAAAATGTGCTATCAGGGATTGATTAAAAACTAGGAATAAGGATCGAATTCGAGCCCAAAAATTTAATTTGAATAACGGTCAAAAAGTACGATTCGTAATGTGGTGTAGCGCAGAAGTGAAATTGGAAGAAAGTGTTTAAAAACACCGAAAAATATTAACAAGTCCTTCATGCTGCGTAGGGTAACGTAGGACTCAAAGAAAGATTTCAAAAAAGGCACAGTTTGTCCTAAAAATGTGCATATCTGCGCGCTTTCTAGATTCTCCCTTTCTCTCTCTTTCTTTCGCTCTCACTCTCTCCGCCTCTCTCTTTTTCTCTCACGCCGGGTTTCTCGCATTTTCAGGTGTGACTACCGACTCGCTAAAGAATAACAAAAAGCAAATTCGCAGACAATTTTTCTCGATTTCCGCATATCGAACTTTTATGGTATTGTTTTAGGCCGGCCTCTCCAGTGTCACCTCCCAATCTCGGCCACCACCTCCCAACCTTGCTCGCCAATTCTCACGGCTCCTTCTCCACGTCGTCGACTATGTCCGGGGCTTGGCGGAGGTCTCCCAGCTTCCTCCAAAGGACCAAGTGGCCTTCTGCAAACGGCAACACCTGTTCGTAGCGCCGTTTATCATGTATGCATACACTTATAGGTAAGTTTACTACCCAAAAGCTTGAAAAGGTGCCAAAGAGAGTGAAAAGGGGCGGACTAGACGGAGAGAGAGCGAGGAGAAAGAGATAAAAAGACATAGATGGAGAGAGACAGAGCGAGAGAGAGAGAGAGAAAAAGAGATATTCGAATCGACAATAGTTTACCGTCTTCCATTTCAGGGTTGGACATCCTGGACTCGTCGCCGGCCTCGGTGAAGCCTTCCAGAATGATCAAGAGCTAAAAATTCATGAGTGAGTGGAAATTTTTTTGACCCTTAGCTTTTCCAATCCGAAAACAGTTTTTATGTTAATTTGCGTCTAAAATATTTTTGTTTTTGATCCATAACTCTTTTCAGAATCGGTGACTTCCTGCACCGGATGATCCAGCTCGGGCAGTCGGAAATCATCCCCGCATTCCGAGAGACGCAAATGGACGACGGGGAATACGTTTTGCTGAAGAATATCTTGATTTTCCATTCTGGTGAGTCGAGTTTTGTAGATATTCTGACTTCAGAGTCTCTTTAAAACAAAAAATATGGATTTTTTTTAGCCCACGGCCTCTCCGAAACGAGCGCGGCAATAATTCGGGAAGCCCGGAAGCGATACGAGTGGATGTTGACACAGGTGAGGGGTATTGGGTGTTTTAAGAGATGGTGACAAAAATTGTCAGGCATTACGAGTCTACGGAAAGCAAAAAAGTATAAATTTAAATTGGATTTTTGCAGAGAATCCGCTACAAGTCTCAAAACGACGTCGATGCCATCTACAAGGTCGCCAAGTTGATGGGAGCGTTGAAGAGCCTAGTGGTGAGTTTATCAAAAGCGAGAGAGGGCGAGAGAGAGCGAGAGAGAAAGAAAGAAAGAAAGAGAGAGCGAGACAGAGAGAGAGAGAGAGGGAGCGAGAGAGCGAGAAAGAAAGAAAGAGAGAGAGAGAACGAAAGACAGAAAGATATCAGAAAGAAAGAAAATGAGCGAGAGAGAAATAGCGAGCGAGAGAGTTCGAGAAGGCTCGGGGAGCAAGAGCTAAATTTTTCGCCTATGCAATAAGTCGAAAATATTCGAGCCAAAACCCCTTTTTTCAGGAACTCGGCTTCAAGCGCGCGCCATTTTTCTCGCGCTGCGTGGCGCTGGATATCTGTGGATTGCGAGGGCGTCTCCCCGCCGATGTGTACATATTGTAAATCGGAAATTCACATTAGTGCTTTTACGCCTTTCTTCGAAATGCTACATTTATTGATTTGTCAAATATTTTGTTCCTCCCCTCCGCAAATATGATCCCCGTGCAATAATTCTCTCTCACCGTGCTGGCAGGAATTTGGCTTCAACGACTTACGCTGGAATGAGCGTTGTATATAAATTTACGTGACCTATTTTTTATCTAATTTCCTAATGACATGAAGAAAGTATAAAGCCATTTTTCTCGAAATTCTAAGTTGGCTCAGGCTTAGGCTTAGGTTTACAAGCTAGCCCGAGTGAAGCGAAGCTAGAAAATGTGAGCGAGAGAGGGATCAGAGAGAGAGACAGAGAGTGAGAGCGAGACAAAGAGGCAGACGTAGAGCGATAGAGAGCAAGAGAGAGTTGGAGAGAAAAAGATCAAGACAGAGAGGCAGAGTGAGAGAGGGAGAGAGAGAGAGAGAGAGAGAGAGAGAGAGGGAGAGAGAGCGAGGAAGCTGCCTGATGGCTCCCTTAATAACCGCCTTAGAACATTACCGTCTTGGGCTCAACGCAACTTTGTATCACATTTAGATTTTTTTGGGCCTTGATCTAATCACACCCGCAATTAAGAGATTGCTCCAGACCAACAACTAGCAATAAAGCAAAGATATTCACTACAATTACCATCCCACGCAGTTTGTCTCGGGACCAAAATAACGCGTCTTTCCAGCCCCATTTGACGGCGACGACATTTTGGATGTTCAGGAAAGAGCGAGAGAGAGAACGAGAAAGAGAGCGGGCGAGAAAGCGAGCAAGAGAGCGAGAGAAAGAGAGAGAGAGAGAGAGAGAGAGAGAGAGAGAGAGAGAAGAGAGAGCGGGGGAGGGGAGAGAGAGTAGGTGAAAGAGCGAGAAAGCTATAGAGAAAGAAAGACAGGTGAAATGAGCACGACTCAATTAGAGGCTGCGTGGGCGAGCAGGGGGGTATAAATGGCAATTCGAAACGGGTAGTAGGTGAACTTTACTTCACTCCACAGATATTCATAAACTACTAAATGCACATAAGCCTTTATCGGATTTTCTATGTACTATTTCTATCACATCTGCATGGCCTGGGCCTCGCCTTGCCGGCAATGCCGGATTGCAACCGGACGAATCTTGGATATCGCAGTAAGTCTTCAGGGTAACTTAGGCTTAGGCTTAAGCATTAGCTTAGGCTTGAGCTTAGATTTAGGCTCAGGGTTAGGCTTAGGTGTTTAGGATTAATCTTCGGATTTTTAAGCTTCTTTTAGTGTCAGCAAGCGAGAATTGCGTGTTACGAGTTCCCAATTGCGACTCGACATGTTGGAACGTGGATAAGCTTTCGGAATGCATGAATACGAGCGGATTCTTCGACCGGTTTTGTACGAGAAAAGAAGCTTACGCCATGTGGTGATGTAGATGTAGTAAACTTATTTGATTATTAGGCCTTGGAGCAAGAGAGGCAAGGAGAGCGTGAGAGAGAGAGGGAGACAGAGAGAAAGCGAGAGCGCGAGAAGTGAGAGAGAGAGAGAGAGAAAAACATTTAGATTTTTTGGTTTTTGGCATTTTCGCTGGGTAGACTTATTTTAGTCCTATAAGCCCAAAAGTTCCGGGTAAAGTGATGGTACATGTTTTAATAGAGTTTGTAGTAAATGTGAACCATCTTTCGCACTAAAAAGAATATAAAAAACCAGGAAAATTTTGAAATTTTGGTAAAAAAGCGCCTTTTTGCTTGAAGAATCTATAATTTCGTCTTGTTTTAATAAGAGCCTGCAAAGTTTTAGGTTGATAAATAGTAAAAACACTAGAAACGTTTCCTCTAATCATATTACAAAAATTTGATGCTAAGGAAAAGGCCGGTCCTCCCAATAATGCAAAAGTACCGGGTTATTTTTACTGACAAGGTGCACTTCGAATTTTTGAAAACTGAAAAGTACAAAAAAATTCGACAAAGCAACGGAGCCGATTTCTTCACGGAAAATTGCAAGGAAAATCGCTGTGAGGGTAAAAAGGGGGAAAGAAGCCGGCCAGGCGGCCAGTCGAGCGTTTCGGTGACTCAGCTACCGTACCCCCGGCCCCCCTTCTCGATTGCACAACATTCCCTTGGAACGGCCGTTCGTGGGATAACATTGCACAACCCCGGGGCCCAATCGAGCCCGAGAATATAAGGAGGATCAGCTGGGTAAAGAGGAATACTGTATGATTTCGATATGGTTTTCATTAGCATTGTTTAAGGTTGTTTTTGTGCTGGGAGATGGGAAAATCCACCCCCTAACGTCGTTTTTTGACACATTTGCGGCTGTTTCTAACGAAACTTGTCGCTCTGTAAGCTGCGATATAAAAACTCGATTTTCACCTTTTTCAAGCCCAACACTCTATCAAAATTCTTAATTCTTAAAACCTCAAAGTTTTTGGTTGTTTAGGGATGCAATCAAAAAATTCTAAACCTTAAAAAACCCCTTTTTCTTTCGAAGTCACCATTTTTATGAAATCCTTAAGTGTGAAATGCTATTGCCTAAAAAATTTAGATTATTCCATATCAATTACATGATTTGTTAAATTGTTAATTTTCAAAAAGCCAAGATAAGCTCTTAGCTAGCTTTGAAAAAGTTTTCATATTTTTCTGTACTTGTTTTTGGGGGGTTCACGTAGGGTTTTTGCAGTAACTTTCAAGCTTTTTAGTTCAAATCAATTTCAAAACTATTCAAATTTGCGTTCTAGACCTCAAAAAGGCATGATTTATTTTAGAAAACTAAAAACTATGCATCTCTACGTGCGGACCGTGACCGGAAACGGCTCCGTTGAGCTTAGCGCCTTTGAGAGCGTTGCTGAACTGCGACGAATTATTGCCGAGACTTTTTCATGTGTTTCTGAAGATTGCAGACTCTATCTTGGAGGTAATTTTGTTCGAAATAAGAATTAAAATGTTTTGAACTGAACGTAGGAATCTAAAAAACTAAAAACTTTCGCAAAGCGATCGGTTTTCGTGGAAAGACTATTATTTTTAATTTTTTATAAAAATGGTACGGTTTTAGGTTTCTAAATAGCCAGAAAACACTCAAGGATCACTTCGCCCACTTTTCTTGGCAATATCGATTTATCGGAACGGCAGGCACCCAAAAATACTAAAATCCCTCCTTCCCCGGGCCCTGGGGCGGACCACCCACATACCATCAGCCCCCTTCCCTCTCTCCCTCTCGTCGGGGGTGTAGCTCAGTGGTAGAGTGCTCGCTTCGCATGCGAGAAGTCCAGGGTTCAAACCCCTGCTCCTCCAAACCCTTTTTGCTTTTTGGACACCAGTTAGCTTTTGTGGTTCTGAATGCAGCTTCATGCCAGAATTTTTTGCCGGTGCTTCCCGGTGACGTTACGATGGAATTGTTGACGCCTAGTCGGTTCTATATTTTGCGCAAAACAACCCACATGATTTTAAATAATAAACCAATCATAAAATAACCAAATTAAATCGTCACTTCGTAATTAAGAGCCAAGATTTTTCAGGCCACCAACTAGAAGACGATGACCTCATCTACGAAAACGCCACTATCGAAGTCCTGCCACGACTTCAAGGCGGAGGAAATCGAGGCAAGCCTTTTTCGAGGCTTTTGGAAGCTTATTTGCATATTTTCATATTTATTAAAACTCAAATTCATGAATTTTGGCAAAGCTTAAAATGGATCGTCTATAAAAGGCAAGATGCCAGTTATCCATGGCCTAATATTTCAGAATGGATGTCCATGAAAGACAAGCAGCTGGCCCATGACCACAACGTCGACAAGATGGTATTATTTTGGTTTCTTTTCAGTTTTTACATTTTTATTGAAATCAATCCTCGGTTTTTGTAGGTCTGCCGCAAATGCTACGCCCGTCTGCCCCCGAGGGCCACGAAATGCCGCAAGAAGAACTGTCATTCGACCGATCTGCGGAAAAAGAGCAACAACCCCAACAAGTAGATGAATTGCTGCTGATTGTCTGGTTGTACATTTTGCTCTTTGTATTATACTGTTGTTTTGTCATATAAATTGTTATTTGAACCGTGCTATTTTCAGAAAGAGAGAGAGAGAGAGAGAGAGAGAGAGAGAGAGTGAGTGTGAGAAAAAAAGAGAGAACCGATAGAAAGTCAACTAGCAGATAATTTGTTTGAAACTAGATGCTTTCATTTATTCAAATCTTCAGTAGATTAAACCATTCAAGTTGGTGATTCGGAAAATGGAAGAGCGAGCGTCTCAAATTGATGTTGAACCTCTTTTGTTAGGCACCTAAAATGGTACTCAACGAGTCAGCGAGAATTTAAACGAGAAATACACAGAGAATGAGGAAGAAAGAGAGAGAGCGAGAGCGAGAGAGAGATAGAGATAGAGAGAGAGATATTGTACTTACTTGATCGCCCGTTGATACAGCTCCTTCGATTTATCACGTCGAGCTTCATTTCGCAGGCTTCTGCTAGCCAAGTGCAGCAAATCAGCGAGCCGGGTTCCGTTTAGGCAGTCTGACTATGATATAGGGTTTTGCTATGTAATATTTGAAGTCGCATCGTGTAACTTCCATTGTAAAAATGAAAGTGCTTACCTCGATGTGCTCCAACAAATAATCGACCCTCTTGCGGAGTTCCGGAAGAGTGTCTTCAGCTTGGCAGACGCGAAAAATTTCCTGAAATAAGGCGATAACAACAATTTTTTAAAGAAGCTGACGTTCGTATAATAATTTTTTAATACTGAACTCACTAGGGTAGTAACATGCGCCATCAAAATATTCAATGTCAATTTTGAGCTTGCGGCCAGGTGACTCCATTCACTAAAATCGAACCGATGCGTCTAAAATGGACGAAATCACCTCAGAATATGAATCAACCCTTTTCTCAAGCGTCTGGCTTCATGAAGTCCAAGCTCGGATTTTGCTGCCGACTTCAGGTCCTTGAGAAACCTATGAAAATCGTTTTTTCTTTGGTTTCTTTTGCAACCTGGCGTCGAGGATCTGTGTCGCTTTCTTCGCAGCGACAAGGCTGCGTCGTATATGGGTGGGATCGCCTTTCTAGATCATATTTAATGGATTTTTATGGTGCTATTTACCCTAAAAACAGCTTCAGAAGGCTTTGAAGTGTTGGGCGCCGGCTCGACGGGCGAGGAGGTGCTATCAAGCCTAAAGGCTGAATTTTTTTATGATATCTTTCGATTTTACGTACCAACTCTTTTTCTTGTCTTTCAGGTCTATAGGGCCTTTGCGGCTGCATTTTAGATAATACACTAACAAGATTGATTTTTGCGGCGTTAACTTACAATCTCAAACTCCCATCCGCAGGCTCTGAGTCGTTCCAGAGTCGATTGGCGGCCCCCACGTAGCTTTGGTCGCTAAACATCGAATTTGCGGAATTTTTGTTTAGAAGATTTCTTCAAAAGCGCTAAACAACAGCAAATTTCTCACCTCAAAACGCCACCAAAAAGTTTTGGGTCCGGGCTATCACGGCTCGCACCGGAAGTGTCTGATGAGAGCTCTGGAAAAACCGCAATCGGGACAGCTACCGTTCAACATATTTATTTATTTTAGCTTTATGAGTTTTGCGTGTTTTATCATGCTTAGGCTTAGGCTTAGGCTTAGGCTTAGGCTTAGGCTTAGGCTTAGGCTTAGGCTTAGGCTTAGGCTTAGGCTTAGGCTTAGGCTTAGGCTTAGGCTTAGGCTTAGGCTTAGGCTTAGGCTTAGGCTTAGGCTTAGGCTTGGAGCTTAGGCTTAGGCTTAGGCTTAGGCTTAGGCTTAGGCTTAGGCTTAGGCTTAGGCTTAGGCTTAGGCTTAGGCTTAGGCTTGGGCTTAGGCTTAGGCTTAGGCTTAGGCTTAGGCTTAGGCTTAGGCTTGGGCTTAGGCTTAGGTTTAGGCTTAGGCTTAGGCTTAGGCTTAGGCTTAGGCTTAGGCTTAGGCTTAGGCTTAGGCTTGCCTCTGTTTTGAGCGTAGCATTAATGCGTCTTCAAAACGTTCCCGGGCAAAATTATAAAACCAGATGGCGGGTATCACATTGATCAGCATTTTTGAAAGTCGCCACATGCAGAAAGCAATTGATCGTAAAGCATGTTATAGAAAATTCTCAAGCAAACCGGAAACTGTTGTTTTTCTCAATTCTAATCAAAAGTGCCTTCTCCGACTTACCGCTCTCATTCCTTGGCCAAGGTGTGCTCAGCCGGCCACTGACCTTCTTCATTTTTACGTATTAAACGGGATCTTTAGGCAAGTACAAGCAGCAGAATAAGCCAATATTTACAAGCTTTCATTACTTTGCGATTCTTGGTAAAAAAAGTGGCTTCTTTGTGGGTATTTTTTGTGCATGGGTGGGAATTAGCATGCGTGTTTTGTCGTTCGAATGCGCGCCCTTTTTCTGGTCAAGGGAGAGAATAACAAAGCCCACAGGAATGACAAGAATATTCTGATGAAAATGCAACTAAACCAAATAAAAAAGGATGTTTTAATTCGAAACGAAATTTTGCCCGGATAGTGACTTTTGGCTACAGAAAAATTAATTTTGGTAGCGAAATCAACTCGCTAAGGTTGTAATTTACCCCTAAACAGCGTTTCCAAAATTTTAAGTTGAAGATGTGTTTCAAGGCAAGAATTAAGCATTTATTGCAGTCTTTAAATATTCTCAAAATTATAATACAGTCAGCTTCAGTCGCTTGGGGCGAGATCAGCAGGTGCCGTTCGCTGAAAACGTGTGATTTATATGGAAAAGTTTTTCCATCTAACGAAACCCAAAATACAGCATTTCAGATTAATGTAAAAATAATCACAATGAGCGGACATCAATCATCAAAAACCTACTCGGAAGATCGATGCCGGGCGTGTAGGCATATGCGGTGAAGTGCGCAAATCCGTACACAGTAGCAGCGTACGTGGCTTTCGGATCAGACGATTTTACGGTGTGAGTCCCAGGGGTGATCGCCCACTCGGCTATGTACGTGTTGGATTTGCCTTGACTAAAGCGGAAATTTAGCCTTAGACCACCTATCAAAGCGGTTAATTTTCGATGCACTCACCGTTGGAAGAAGAGTGGATTCACCGGCCAGTCGTCAACGGAGAGCTTTCCGGTATTCGACAAGTCAGTTTGCAACCGGATGTAGTGTTCAGCTCCCGTGCGTCCGGCGAGTCCGGTGGAGACCTTAACTATTGGACGGCATGAGCCAGAGCCTAGGCCAAGCCTCAACCTAAGCCTAAGCCTAATCTAAGCCAGGCCAGGCCTACGCCGAAGCCTAACGCGATCCCCTTATCCCTTACCTGCAGATATGTCTGGTTAGTGAACTGGTCTATGGCCGGAATGTGGGCCAAGAACGGAGATCCCTTGCCGTCTTTCCGGATCGAAGAAACCTGAACCGGAAAAACTCAAGAATTCCGCTGTTCATCTACCGCCACCGCGTACGCCGGCTTGCTAGTGGAGAACAGGAAGGAGCCCTTGCGCTGGAAGATGTAGTACCTAGAAAACGGAAGGTCAAGGAGTCAGGGAAGGTATCAAAATCGGAGCCGAACCCAGAAAAAGCTCAATAAACTTACCATCCATCGTCAATAGTGTCGAACGGAACGCCGTTGATGGAAATTGTGGTCCCATCGGCCTGAAATTCCACCGTTTAACTCTCGTTCTCTTGTTCTCTCTCTCTCTCTCTCTCTCTCTCTCTCTCTCTCTCGCTCTTAACTCACATGCGCGAACACCATGATCTCGCCGGCGTCCTCGGAGATGAACTGGCTGTAGGGGAACTGGGTGCCCGAGTCGCGAAGGGGGAACATCATCTCGGCCTAAAACTATTTGGCTTAATCTCGAAAACAGCAGTAGATTCACCTCGTAGTTGCAGATGGCCGGGTTAAAGTAGCCGAAGCCGCAGACAGCGCCGGTGATGACGGCTAAACGATATAACTTGGTTGCTTTCTCCCTCACTCGCTCTCTCGCTCTTTCGATCTCTCTTTCTCCATCCCTCCAACTTACCAACAGGATAGTTCGTGCTCAAGTCATAGTTTGTGAGCGGGAAAATATCAGCGGCTAGGGTGAAAACTTGACCCTTGTTGATGCTGATGGTAGGAGGGCTGGTGACCGGCGGGTCGATCGTGATCTGAAACACATCTTAATTTTTTGGCGAGAGAGAGAGAGTGCGAGTGATAAACGTACCACAGTGCCGTCCTGGGTACCGACAATCGACCAGATGTTCGTCGACCTGGCGCCGTTCAAGAACGTCTCATCACCAACAGTACGGTAGCGGGTTCCGAGCATGCAGGTCTAAAAGGTGTAGTTGTCATTTTTGTAAGGAGAAAGCGATACAAATTTTTCGTTTTAACTTACGTTACAACATAAGTTAAAACTACTATACTTTTTTATTTATTTATGGTGAGGCGATGTTCACGATTCCACCTTTTTCAATTTGGTGAAAATGGTGGGAAGAATTATATGTCATTTTTACAAATATTTCGCTTTTTCGGGTTTAAAAGCCAAAACATATTTTTCTTTTTTATGGCATTCCGTGGCGGTTTTTCCTATTCGATTTCCCAGAACCGTCATATTTTCCAACTTACTGGGTAGACGACGTACATGTCCTGCGATAGGCCATCAGAATGCGCGTTGCTGACGACGACAGTCACCTGGAAAGAAATTTACAAACCTAAAATACGCCCCCGTACCGTAGTGCTAGCCGTCAACGAGATACTCTGATTTGTGGTGTACCCATAGTTGACGTGGAAATCTCGGTAGTCGGTTTGGATCTCCGGGGGCAGGGTGAGCTGAAAAAAAGAAATCGATTGTTGGAAAGGCTAGAAAAGATGCCGATATCAAAATTGCTCGAAAGATGTCCCAAGAACTTCCGAATTGCAAGCTCAGTTATGCCGGCATTTTTACTTTATTGCTGTCGGCATTTCTGCCGCCGGTGCAAATCGGCATTTTGGACCCTTTCAGATTTTGATTATCTAGCTTTCAAGCTTCTTTTAGATTCCAATAATAAGCAGCGCTTAGATTTTTCAAGGTCTGTAATATCTTTGAGCTTTTCCTTTGCAATCTTTAGAGTGTATTTCCCTATGGGTTCCGCCCGCTTTTTTTACGAGGCGCCGCCCTGATTAGAGGCCGTCGTGGCCAAAGTTAGACACCAAATGGCTCCCATTTTCCACGGGGAATTCTTGACCTGATAATTTTGCAAGGGTTGCACACTGAACGTCTGGGTGGAGAAGATGCCCGATGGGGTCGAGACGGTCACCGAGGCGGCGTTGCTGAAGGAGTTAGGATTAAACGAGGGCGGGAGGGAGGGAGGGAGAGAGGGAGGGAGGGGGAGAGAGAGAGAGAGAGAGAGAGAACCTACCTCGAGTCGTAATTGGTCACGATAATAGTGATGTTCTCGGTGTAGGATGTGTCGGAATTTCTAAATTATTATACTTAAAGCGTTCAAAAAATTATTTGCACATTTATTTTGCTATAAAACCTACGTAATATGCGAGTTCGTGACGGCAAACACGAAATTCGAACCGGTGGTAAAAGCTCGGACGGCTGGGTGAAGCTGTGTCGGCTCGAGCACGGCCTTGGCCATGTGGGCTGAAAATCGAACGCTTTAAAGGGGCTAACAAGTCGCGAACTTTCTTTTGGAGTTGCTTAACTTAAGATCAATGCGCCGCGTCTGCCAACGCAGAAGAAAACAAAAAAATTCCGACAAGGTCCGAAAAATTCACCTCTTTGCCGAACATCCACCGCCGCCACGGCGGCCAATAACGCAACGAAGCAGAACAGCACCCGCATAATGCTGGAAAAACGAAAAAATTAATTAGAATTTAAGAGTTAGAAAATTAATAATACTCAAGCTCAAATTTGGAGGGAATTTTAAAGTTTAAGATTGGAGAAAAGGCTCAAGAAGAAAACCTAAATTGAAATTTCCGGTTCTTAAAAAACTTTTTCTAGGGTTTTAAAAATCTTTTTTCCTAGTTTTAAAAATCTCTTTTTAGGTTTAAATAAATTCTAACATTTTTTGAGGCTCATGATTCAATTTCAAGCTTTAAAATGTCCTAGTCAATAAAATCCCATTCGTAACAATTGAATTAGAGCTGAGAAAGAGGTCCGGGGCCAAATTTAGAAACTTTGGATGAACTAAAAATAAAAATTTCTATTTAGCTTTTAAATTTTTTCTTGGAAATCATTAGCAGAATGATTTTTATATGAAGTAATTTTTCATTAGTATTAATTAATATTAAAAATTGCAGCGGCAAGTCAGCACCAGAAAAATCTAGCAACACTGGTCTGTCTCCTCCACGCCCGCAAGCCAACACTGCGGAATTCCGATTGTCGACGCATTTACCACCCAGTTTTATTTGCATCCCATCCCCCGGCGGTCGAACATAAAGATTACAGGACAGCCGAGAAACGGCCCGATTCCACTCCCACCGCTCATCTCCAAATTTGTGCCCATCGCCCGGAGAGTTAATTGGCCTGTGAGTTTGGGGTCGATCTTTGAGCATTGTTCTGGTGGAATTAAGATGGTTTTTGGGAGTTTAAAAACCAAAGGACTCGGTAAAGAGAGCTTATTAAGCTAGTTCTAGTTACTAAGCCACTAGTTAGGCGTAGCTTGGGCTTAGGCTCAGGCTTAGGCTTGGCTTAGGCTTGGCTTAGGCTTAGGCTTAGGGTGTGTTCATTCTTTTTCATTTACTTTGCATATACCTGCATTTCCGGGCGTTCCTCCTCGAAAAACTGCCCCTCCCAACAAGCCAATCACCAAAAAAACCGGGAGGGGAATGTGAAAACAAGCCTGTCACACGAGAGAGAGAGAGAGAGAGAGAGAGAGAGAGAGAGAGAGAGAGAGGGAGAGAGAGGGAGGGAGACAGTGAGTGAGAAAGTGGAAAGACAGGCTTACAACAGTGAGGGTCAATTTCCCTGCCCTCCAATCTGGCAGCTAATTGCCACAGCTGGATCTTGCGACTAGATCAAAGAGAGAAATAAGATCGAGAAAGAGAGTGAGAGAGAGAGAGAGAGAGAGAGAGAGAGAGAAAAAGGGTGGGAGAGAGAGACAGAAAGAGAGCGAGAGAGAGATAGTGGATTTCCTTTCAAAAAAACAGTCCCATCCAAGGCGTCAATTGTAAAGGAGCGTAGTGATGTGATGCCGACTATAAAAGCCGAGGGTCGAATCGAAAAATCAGACTCCCATGGCTCAGTTCTTTAAGGTATGCCTCCTCCTTCTTCTCGTTTCCGGTCGATTATGGTAGGTATTTCGGAGGCATGGGCTTGGGCCTACGCTTCGGCTTAGGCTAGGGCTTGGTCGCTAGCATACTGAAACTCCCCCAATTTTTAGTAGCGGTAGCTACGCAAGAGGAGGAGGATCAGCCGATGCGGGTAGCTCTGGCGTCTCCTATGGCGGAGGTGGAGGAGGAGAAGAAGCCACTGAGAATGAGGTCTCGGACGTGGGAGTCTCAGAAGATGCCGGGGTTGAAGCAGCGGATACCGGGGATACCGGAGCTGGGGAAGAGGTTTCTGAGGATCTAGGCTCTTCCGGCGGAGCTGGAGGTGGCGGTGGCGGCTACGCTCAGGCTCCAAGCGCACCACCAGCCGCTCCAGCTCCTAGCTACTCTGCTCCTGTTCCCGCTCCTGGTGAGGCTTTTATTATAACTCCAGAATTTGTGGAAGCTTAGCTCCTGCTCCAGCTCCCGCTTCCGCTCCTGCGCCAAGCTACTCTGCTTCGGCTCCTGCCCCAGCTCCTGCGGCCCCTCCAGCAGCTCCGGCTAGTTATTCGGCTCCGGCTGCTGCAGCGCCGGCTCCTAGTTATTCGGCTCCTGCCCCTGCTCCGGCCCCGCCACCTGCCCCTGCCGCTCCTCCGGCTCCTAGCTATTCAGCTCCTGCCTCTGGTGAGAATACGAAGTTTTCCCAAAACTAACCCAATTTAAGCTCCAGCTCCGACTCCGGCTCTAGCTCCTGCTCCCAGCTATTCGGCTCCAGCTCCTGCGCCAGCTCCAGCTCCTGCTCCAGCTGCTCGAGCAGGTGGCTACAGCAGCGCTCCAGGTCTTTCCTTAGTTGCAATATTTAGAATTTGACTTAGCTCCAGCACCTGCTGCTCCCCCAGCGGCCCCGTCTGGAGGTGGTGGCTACAGTAGCGGTGCAGCGTCGGCGCCAGCACTGGGTGGTGGAGGCTATGCTACAGGAGGAGGAGGAGGAGGAGGAGCCGGAAGTTATGGCCGCAAGAAAGTGAGGGTGATGAGGAAGAGGGTAAGTCTTATTTGGGAAGCGAGTTCGGCTAGGGCTTGGGCTCAAAATGTCAAATGTCCAGGTATTTGACGGCATTTCGGATTTCACGATTCTGTTTGTCGGTTATCCGGTTATCATCATTTGTCAACGCCCGTAAATGGAAATTTTCGAGCAAATCGAATCCTTTTTAGGTCCGTGTCGCGGCCAGACGTCGCGTCGTAGCTGCACGTCGTCGTGTCGTGGCGGCCCTCACCAGGAAGCGCGTCGTAGCGGTGAGGAGGAAGGCGGCACGCCGTGTCGTGGCCGCCCGCCGAAAAGCCATCAAGAAGGCGGCCGCCAGAAAGATCTAAGCAGTTTAAAACGTCCGATATTTTCATTTTTACGCTTTTACGGGCTTTCTCTTGCTTTGGAATGAATGGTGCGTTGAAAATTTGCATATACAAGGAAAATAAATGATTTAACGGGATTGGAAAGCCAAATTTTAATAGATTTTATGTTTTTCGTAAGCTTTAGGGAATTTTTAACGAGCGGAAAAATGTAAATTAAACAATTTTTGACGGTTTCTAAACTGTTGGGCTTCTAAAGTGGCTGGAAAGGCAAGGCATCCACAACGACATCATGCGCCAGAAATTTTTGACAGCAAAATGCAAATCACACAATGCAACCTGTTGTTATATTTTTCTGAGCAAAGTTCCTGAAACAATTTCGATTCAGCTCTACAGTAATTTACATAAGTTTCCGTAAGCCGGCTGCCTAAAAACCTCGAGTTTTTGATCTTTCCAACCCGTTTTTGGTGCTGATCAAGCATCATATCGGTTTAGAACCGGCTCTGCCACTTCCCACCCCCCTAGTCCGTACTAGCTAGCCCACCTTGCATAAACGGGGTCGCGATCAAAAATTCGTAAAATTTCGTGCGCCACATCTAGAACCCGTTTTTCGGGAACCCATTTGGGCGTAAGCCGTGGCTGCCAAACGCACAAGCGGAAGCAGCGTACTGTAGCATGGGTCTGAAAAACGGCTTCCGGCTAGGTTTTTCGGATTTTTTGTCGTCGTTGACGATTCTAACTCGTTTTTGTTAATATTTTGTTAATTTCAGTGTCACAGTTGTCTAGTGCTTAGGAATTTCTCGACTTTTTCTGTATTTTTGAGGCTGATGCACAAACTTTTAGCAAAGCAACTTTAGTTCGCTTTTGTCGGGGGGTTGCTCGCTTCGAAAAAGGGGTGTAACAAACGTATAAGAGGGGGGGGTTCGCTGATCTGATGTTGGTGCTGATCTGTGTGAGGATGCTTCTGCGCAGCAAAACTCGTTTCCCTCTCTCTCCCTTTCTCGCTCTTTCTTTCTCTCGTACTCTCTCTCTCGCTTCTCTTTTCGACCTCATCTCAACCTCCCTTATCATCAAGAGCACGAAAAATCAACTGCCTGCCGAGAATGAGGACCTGCAGCGTGACGAGCACAAGGGGGAAATGACCTATCCGATGCTAATGTCAGCAATTTTGACAGCGGCGTTGGTCTGGAATTTTGTGAGCGCTGTTTTCTTGTACTTTTCCGGGAGAAGTTATTTGGAGGAGGGGAATTTCTAGGAGATTTTTTCGTATTTGTAGGGCATTTGCTAGAGGCAAAAATTCGGTACCGAGTATTTTTTATTTAATGACGAGCCTAAGCCTACGCCCACGCTTACGCCAATTTCTAAGCCTAGGACCAAGCCTAGGCCCATTCCCAAGTCTAAGCCCATTCCTAAGCTGAAGCCTAATCCGAACCCTAAGCAGAATTTAAGCCTAAGCTCAAGCCTAAAATCAAGCCCAAGCGGAGTCTAAGCCTAATCCTAAACCTAATGCTAAGCCTAAGCCTAACCCCCACCCCCTCGACTTTGTACTTGGCGTGCGATAAAACCTGCCCTGCTGGCGCATGAATATCTCTTTTTGCCCCCCGACTACGCGATGCTCCCCTGTTTACGTAGCCGGTGATTTGAGGGCGTACAATTGGTGCTGTAACAAAACCGTCCGGGTCCAAGATGCTGATCTTTGTAGAAAAGTGTGTGCCCGGGACGAAAAGCCCACCCCAAATATGGCCTCGGCGGCTTCGCAAAATACCATTCTTTGGAGGCGACAATGGGACGGTTGTTTGCTAAAATGCCACCTTTAGTGGGGTGTGGGAGGGGGAAAAGCCGTGCCTATGGTTCAGGACTACAAAAATGAGGCATAGCTTGGGAACGGGCTTAGTTTGGTGTGGGATTTGGGTTATGGTAGGGGGAGGGAAGCGCTTTGACTGCTTTTGCACGCTTTTTAATTCTCGAATTTTTTTTTGCAGTTTTCCTTGAAATCTATAGCAGACCTTGAGTAGCGTAACGAAAGGCACATGCACTCGAAATTTTTCCTTGTCCTAAGCGGAACTAAAAAAAGCACCCAGAAAAGTTCTAAGAACGACGCGCCGACGGCAAAAGCTCCATTTCTCAGGGAACGTGGTGCTTCTTTTCGGCTAGGCCAGTCGGCACTACCTAAAATTTGTGAGACTGGAGTATCTTCTACCTTGATCACCTTACCGTCTCACCTACCTTGCTTTTCCTCGTACTCTTGCTGCGACTTGTTCAATTTTGTTCTGAGACCTCCAATAATTTTTGGGAAGCTTCTTCGCTTCCTCTTCGTTTGCGTAGTCGAAATGATTGATCTCGACCTTGAACCTGGTGATAGCCGACCTCAAGACAATAGCACTGTTATCAAAAAAGGTCAGCCTCAGCCACGGTGGGAAAATGCTGGACCGGCATGGGAGGGCGGTGGTTTCTGTACTAGCAGAGCGCCAATTCGACTCTTGCGTTGTTATCTCTTTTTGCGCATTTTCCGATATTCATAAGATGTAAGCCCAAGCCTAAACCTAATCCTAAGCCTAAGCCCGAGCCCAAGCCTAAATCTAAGCGTAAGCGTAAGCCTAAGCCTAAACATTACCTAAGCCTAAACCTAAACCTAAGCCTAAGCCTAAACCAAATCCCGCCCTAAGCCGAGGCCAAAGCCCAACCCAAGCCCAAGCCCTAAGCCTAAGTCTGTGCCTATTACGTATCAACAACCAACGATCAAAAGAACACAAGCCATGTTCTTCCCCGCAGCACGCTCGATTTGCCGGCCTCGCGGCTATGGACGGGCGTGTGCCATGCCGGAAACTGGATCGTAGCGTTTCCTGCCACCACCACTTCGCAATTAACTTTTTCTATCGCTCTCTCTCTCTCTCTCTCTCTCTCTCTCTCTCTCGCTCTTTTGCTCTCTCTCGCTCACCCTCGCCCGCCCATTCTCTCCTGAGCACAAGAGGTTCACTGCCTAATAGAATACGAACGTTCAGTTTCCATTCAAAGCTTATATTCGCTGTTCGGTGCACTAGAAAAAGCAAGCTGTTGTGCTAGCCTGGGATATTGATGGATTGAGAATTGATTCAAGGTGTGAATTCGATAGCTCTCACTCTCTCGTTCTCTCGCTTTCTCGTTCTCGCGCTTTCTCTTTCTCTCTTTTTCTCCCGCCCTCTCTCTCGCTCTCTCTTAACCCACAAGAATCTTTGCTCGTTTTCTACCGGCTAAAACGAGCCTGAATGTTTAATTGCAGGGCAAAAGCGGAGCGCTACGTAAATGTGGAGTCAGTTTTAAAGAAACGAAACTACGACGACTATTTTGAAGATTGGAGGACAATTTTGAAGATCGAATCAAAAAGGCTGAGGTGAAAATGAGCGCAAACGAGACGACCAGTTTGCTTCAGAAAGGAGCGCAGTATATGCTGGAGGTTAGCAAAAAAGTCCAGGGTTGAAATAAATCTATTTTCACGATCAAAATCTGAAGCTCACGTCGTTTTTCAGCTCGCCCTCCTCCCCGATGACCAACAGCCATGGCCACTCAAACTTTCTATTATTCTTATGGGTTATTTTACAATAATTATGCCATGCTGGTTGCTGCTGTACTTTTTGCGCCGCAGATTTAATGGTGAGACAGATACAGAGAGAGAGGGGGAAAGCGAAAGAGAGCCAGAGAGATGGTGAGAGAAAGCGAGATAGAGATAGAGAGCGAGAGAGAGAGAGAGAGAGAGAGAGAGAGAGAGAGAGAGAGAGAGAGATAAAGCGCACGAAATCATCAGTTTGAAAAACCGTTCCAGGCGAAAAGGCGTGGATACCCCGGGAATGGCACTGGCGGATAGCCAGAAATTTTGCAATTGGCCGCCCGGAATGCCAACTGCCAAAGAAAATTGCAGCAGCGGAAGTGAAAATGGAGAACCTGGAAAACAGTAAGCTAAATTTGTGGTTTTTGAAAGTTTTTTTAGGCCGAGACCGGAAGAAACTGCTCCGAGAAGTGTTCCACTTTATTCATTATTTTACTGGGATCCAGGTACCCTCAAATTCTTGTCAACGTATGGGATAAATCCAGCTTACGCTTGTGGCTATGGGATTTCTGCAAGAAAAAATGATTACAAGGGGATACCCGAGAAGTACCGCGACGTACGATGCGGATGGGAATCTGACGGCACCGATTGTCGATCGGGTAAGAGTTTTAATGAGGCGTTAGGCTCGAAATCTCTTAGTTACGTTCGATGTTGCAGTTTGTAGCTTTTACTTTTCAGTTCGGTGACAGCCAATACCTACTCCTGTGGAATCGGATAATCGCGCTGCTGGTGGCGTTGGTGGTGATTCTATGGAATTTTCGGAGGTCAGGATTTTTTGATGTTCTGTCGGTCTCTCTCTCTCTCTCTCTCTCTTTTCTCTCACTCGCTCTCTCTTTCTTTTTCTGTCAAATTATTGATATTTTAGTCAACCCGACCATGTGCCTCCCTACTACAAACATGGCTACACGTCGATCGCAAACACGATTAGCTCTTGGTGCCAATATGAAGCCCTGAAATACGTCTCATTCCCAACACAGGTATACTCTGATGGAAGCGAGATTATAACAATATCTTAGATGATTTTCAAATGTTCCAAAGTTGTCGTGACGATGTTGATGGGGACGATCGTGAGAAGAACAAGGTACGGTAGCGGTAAAATAATAACTCCTAAGTGGCTCTAAAACGCAGCATTTAGAAAAATTCGATCCGAATTAGGACAAGCCAACGGAGAGCACATGAAACGTAAATTCGATAGCTCTGCTCTTCCAGGTACACTCTTTTCGAGTACATCTGCGGTGGCCTGATTGCTGTCGGGGCTTCACTGTTCTTGATCAGCTCCGGGCCGGGATCCGGAAAAACTGGGACTACGGTAGACTGCCGTTATAGCGTTGCGTTAACAAAAAAATTGCCTAGATTTCCGGAATCATTCTTATGCTCGGCTACATCGTCGTCGATGCGTTTACCACCAATTGGCAGAAGAAGCTCTTTGATACGAGACCGAAAGTTAGCAAGTATCAGGTGGGAGAGATTTCTGGAGTATGTGGCCTCGAAAAGGGCTTCAAAGACAAGCTCTTTGGAGGTCACTATCCCTTTAAAAATGGCTAGGAGCGCTCAAATCGTTTCTTGAATTTACTAGTTCTCCACCGCTATTGTACACGCCAAGGACGGCAGAGTTCGATAAAACCGCAGCAAAAAAATAACAAAATCCCGCTCAAAGCGTAATTTTGTAAAAAAAGCACTTGTTGTGATCTAAATGACGGCAGGGGTCGATTTTCGCAATTCGTGGCACTTTTGAAGGACCATTGAAGTCAAATCCATAGCTGTTACGACATACAATTTGGGAATTCAGATGATGGTGGGCGTGAACTGCTTCTCCACAATTCTATGCTTCGTCTCATTACTCGAACAAGGAACCCTCTTCATTTCGACACGATACGCCCTGACCCATACGGGGTTTATACGGTAGCATTGATAGGCTACAAGATTCCTTGTGATTTTTAGTGATGTTCTGCTGCTCTCCCTCTCCGGCGCCCTCGGCCAGCTGTACATCTACTCGACGATCGCCAGATTCGGGCCTATTTGCTTTGCGATTATTCTAACGATAAGACAGGTAGGTAGGGGAGGAATAGGTGAACTGCTTGCAGTTGTTGATGACTGACTTACCTCTCACTAGTGCGTAGGGGGTACCTTAGCCGTTTCTGAACATGAGTCTCAGTTTCCGAGCTCAAAGGATTGTTCCAGATCGGGTCCATCATCCTCTCCTCCATCTACTACCACCACCCGCTGACCATCTACGCCATCTGCGGGCTGATTATTGTGTTCGGCGCCATGTTTGCGGACATTTTCAGGAAGTAAGTTGCTGATTTAATTCATGGATTTTATATTAGCTACAAGAAGTTTTTGTCTCGCCTAAGAAAGTCGTGAAAAATAACAAAAATTGTCAAAAAAGCTTGTAAAATTAGAGGTTTGACCGGGTTTTCAACTATAGTACATTTTGAGATACCGTCTACGCCAGCTAAACCAGAAAAAGAAGAGCGATCGTAGCCCATCCACTGATACCACTGATACCGTAACCACCCCGGTGGCTTCACCGCCCTCCACCCCTGAGCCTCAACAAAACGAGAATGACAAACGGCTTTAACCTATTTATTTGATCTTAAGTACTGATTTTTAAGCTGTTTTATATATATGACTGTATTTCATTAAATATTTCTTGATCTACTTTTCGAGCATGGCTTTATGAACCTTCTCGTGTCGTGTCCTTTTGTGTGTAAATACGGTTTTCAATGCCTAATATTTTTTGTACAAATTAATGTATCTTTTTTGATCTTGTAGGTATGATTTTTTAGTATGATTTCCATATGTACCAGCTCCGAGCGTGTTTTTTTGGGCGCCCTTCAAAGTATACCAATATCAGATTTCCCTTTCGTGTTTCGGCCCCTGTTCGCACGCTACCCTATAATTTAGTCAACTCGTGCTAACAAATGTTTTTAGGAATGTGATTTTTTTCGACTCTATTTTCATTGCTGCTGATGTGTTTTAGATTAGGTTAATAAATTTAAATAAGAAAACACTTAGGAATCTATGAAATCAAAGCACATTTAAGGACTTCCTGCATCCACATTTCCTAGATTTCCATAGCTCTCTTTCTCTCGTTCCGCTTTCTCTCTCTCTCTCTCTCTCTCTCTCGCTCCCTCTCTCTCTCTCTCGCTTGCTCTATCTCTCGCGCTCTCTCATTCTCTCCATTTTCCTCACTCTCTGTCTCTCTCTCCCGATCCAGAAATAGTATACTTTGCCACTGTGTTTTCACCACCTTCCCGGCAACAGCCCCTACCCACGATCAGGAACGATGGCAGGAGTGCATTCACTTTTTGCACCCTCCTGGCCCAGTTTTTGTCCAAGTTGGGCTCCCAATCGACCGGGGCGTCGCGGTTGTAATGGCTAAAGTGCTTGCGAACGCTGCTTTTTTGAAAACCGTTAGGGCAAACGTGAAGAGAGATGATAGGTGTCACTCATCACGCCGGTAAGCAGCCAAGGACAGAAAAAAGGTGGTGGTTTGGAGACGAGTCTAGATAAATAGGCCCTAGCTGACTTGTATTGTGAGTTTTGTGAGCTTTTTGTATTACTCGGATTTTAAAGGGCGTGGAACACTTAGATTTTGGACATGGCGTAAATTTGGTGACGATGTTAGCGCCCAGAATTTTTCAGGAATTTGCGATCTCGAATTCGTAAAATGTCGGCACTTTGTGGTGGCGTATCCATTTTAATCCTCCAATTTAAAGGCGCGGTACTAGGAAAAACAGCAATTACCCGAAAATTATAGCGACTCAATTATGGCGACGAACCGAACTTTTTCACGCCTTTTTCTAGCAGTTTTTGATGATTGGATCACTTTTTGAGGTCGTCTCTCCATCCTCTGCCCTTTGCAACCCCTCCAAAAATAATTTCTGGTCTCTGCTGGATGGGTGCACAGAGCGGGCGGCGCTTTTTAATCAGTTGGGTTAGCGAGATGAGGGCCAACTGTCGCCATAAGAAGTTGAGCAAGGTGGCCGATGGGGGGCTCGTGGGGTGGAGGGCATACCACAACTATGCCCGATACAAACACACAAAAATCTACTGAAAATTCGGTGCGGCAGTGCTTTCAGCACTGACCTGTATTCTTTTATTGCCTTTTTTGAGCGGTTTGGGGATTTTTTTCATTTTGCATTCTTTTTTTGCTTTTTTTTCTTCTAGCATTTTTCACCCATCTTAGTTGCCAATGAAAAAAAAATAGGGATTTAGCAGCCCGAACTGACTATGGATTGGAACTCAAGGGGCTTGGCTTGGTAAGTGCCATAAATGAGTTAAAATCCCGAGTTTCCATCTGTTTTGCTAAAATCTGTGCTTTAGGCTCTTCCTCCATGTAATTTTTCGATCGTGCTTCGGCTTGACATCAATCGACGCCATCCTCGACAACACGATCAAACGAATCCCGACCCAAAACGTCACACGCCCTCTGAATGTGCGACTCGGCTTTTACCTCGAGCACATCGGTAACTTCAAGTCGGCGGAAATGGTGAGATTGGGAAACCATTATCGGACCTGTTCTACCCCTTTAACGCACTAAAATCTGCTTTTTCAGTCCTTCGACGTCGATATGTACGCGTACATGTCGTGGCGAGACCATCGACTGCGACACAAGAAGGCGGACCCGGTTCTGGTGAATGATCACGACATCAGGAAAAAGTTATGGTAAGTACACGCCTACCCTAGCGCGAAGCCTAAGCCTAATCTCAAGCCGAGTCTTAAGCCCAAGCCTACGCGGACCAAATATGCAAATTCAGGCTTCCCGATCTCTACTTCGCCAATGCCAAAGAAGCGAAAGTTCATGAGGTCACGTCCCCGAATTTCAACATGTTCATCGAGAGAGATGGAACGATTGCTTATTCGTGCCGATTCACGTATGCAAATTAGAATTCTGGAAAATTAGGAGAATTTAGCATGTCTATAAGTTGCAACCTGAAACTACAGAATTATCCTATGGACGTACAGATGTGCGGGATTCGGATATTGTCTTGTAAGTCGAAAGGAAACGGTTTTCTTTCTGTCTCTATCTGTCGCTCTCTCTCTAACACTCTCTTTCTCTCTCGCTCTCTCTCGTTCTCGCTCTGTCTATTTCTCTCTTGCTTACTGTCCCTCTCGCGCTCTCTCTCTCTCTCTCTCTCGCTCTCGTTCACAAAGAAAACTTTATTTAGATGCCTATATCGCAAAACAAATGAATGTCGAATGGTTTGACGCGGCGCCGATTCGCGCTAACCCGGATATTCAGTACTTGTCATTTTTTGATTTTTGTTCCATACCGTGATTTCCTAGGCTTCCTGAATTTGAGATCACTAACATCACAGCAAAATATTGCAAAGGCGATTATCGATATGCGGTAACGAATGAGGGATTCAAATATGGTATTTGGTTGGCTTTTGCAGAAAGGTCTACGAACATTCTTCATATGAAAATTTTTGCCATAAGATAGAAATTAAATACGATGGAAAGTAAAAAAATCTAAAGAAGGAGCTTCATAGTGTAATTAAAGCAATCGTGTACTTCCAGACAACTTCAGCTGTCTTGTCGGAAAAATCTATCTTTCGCGGAATATGGGCTACAACCTGATCCAAAGCTATATTCCCACCGGGCTGATTGTGGTCATTTCCTGGGTGTCATTTTGGATTGATCGTCGAGGTCGGTGAAGGAGAGAGAGAGAGAGAGAGAGAGAGAGAGAGAGAGAGCGAGAGAATTGGAAATACATGCTGTATACCATTTCAGCCGTCCCAGCCAGAGTGACGCTGTCTTTTACCACCCTCGTATCGCTGACAACATTGGTGGGTCATTAACTTACCTTTCCAGGTTTATTTAATGAAAATTTTAGGGAAATGGCCTACGATATGGCCTCCCAATGGTCGACTACGCAAAAGCCATCGATTTATGGTATGGAGGTACGTCAACTCTCTCTCTCTCTCTTTCTCTCTAACGCTCTCTCGCTTTCTCTCTTATTTACGAATCCTCGAACTAGATATTTTTACAAATAAATTTTTTAGCCTGCATGATCTTCGTCTTCTTGGCCCTCCTCGAGTTCGCCATGGTCAACTCAATTATGCGAAAATCGGCAAAGTACGAGCAAATGGCAAAGAATATGGCAGCTTCGAAAGGTAATTGTTCTAAAAATGGAATTTGTACCTATAAAAACCTACAGTGAACTTATAGAAACCAATATTCCGGTAGCTCCTAATGAGGGTAAGTTCAAACTTGTCTTTTCCTTCAACTTCTATCCCTTTATCTTTCTTAACCTTTAAACTGCTATTTTCAAAGTTTTCCCTTGCAGGAATTTTATGAGGAATCCAAGTTTTTAAATTCCAGAACCCGAAAAATCTGAACAAGATGGCAACTGGAATCGGAGGACGATGAGGAATTTTGTGAAGCGGAAGAGTATTGCGCCTCCGAATGGAAGCCCAGGTTTCCTTTTATCTGGAACTCATCAGCGGAATTTTAGCAAAAGGAGAGAAGCGCTCAAAGAGCATAACTCCGAAATCACCAGGTAAGAGCTAGCAAGAGGTAGAAACCCATAGAAAAGTAAATTTTTTAAAATTAGCTGACTTTAGATGCCTCCCGAAAGCGTTACGATTCCAGCGAGCTCGACGAGTTAAGGGAGGACGAGCTGGAGATCTCGGGTAAGTTCAGTCTCAATTCCAACAAAATTTTCCGAACTTTCCAGATGACGATGCCAAGATGTGGACAAAGGCCGTACAGCGAGAATCACCAAATCATTTAACGGGATTGTTGGTCGAGCCGAAGGAGGTTGAATCTGGACGCTATCAAAAATACGATATTTTTCAGAAGGACGAGCAGAGCAAGGATGCTCAGAATGCCCATGCCGTCAATCGCAGTGTGGCGGAGCAAGCGTATGCTACGGTAAGAGACATAAAACTTATCAGAGACTAAAAAAAATTAAGAAGCATGTTTATGGTACATCAGAGAAACAATGCGTATAAGTACAACTCAAAAAACTTGTGCTTTAATCCTTAGTTCCTCAAGATTCTCTGCTAGCTATCGCCTTTCCAGATGTCCGCTACCTTCTCCCGCAGAGCCTTCCATCTGGATCAGACCTGCCGTTACCTTTTCCCCGGAACGTTCCTCATCTTTGCGCTCGTTTACTGGATCTACTTCCTCTACCACCAGAAGTATGCAGCGATGGAGGAACAGCTCCGGGATTGAGCTGTCATTCTCCTTACTACCGAAAAAACAATTTCAATACATTACCGAAAAAAATTGCTTCTACCATCTGTCTTTCACCTTGTTCCTCCCAAATTCCAATTCGATTCTCTTTAATGCTTCTTTACCACAATAATTGCGAGCTATGATGCCTGAAATTAATTTTCTTCAAATTGTTGATTCATAGCTTTAGTGCCTGAATAAAAGTACAGCTTCTTGTGCACACAATAATTATGCCAAATGCAAATTGGGTGCGTGGCAGCTGCTTTCAATGCAATATTCGTAGCCAGACGACAACAAAATTTGGAGTTTGCAGCCGAAATTCCCGCAAAAAGCGTGAGTAAGATATAAGGATAAAAAGCGGCTTCAAACCAAAAGAATTTCCATGTGTTTGGCTCTCTTAGAATGTTCTTTGCTGTTTGGGTAGCGAAGTCTAAAATTAAGCCGAAACCGAAGCCTAAACCGAAGTCTAAGCCTCACCCTCATCTAAGCCTACGCTTAAGCTCAAGCTTAAACCGAAGCCTAAGCCTAAGCCTAAGCGGGACCCTCTTTCAAATCCAACATCATGCAACTGATCTAAAGTCTGCATGCGTTCCCTATACCTCAAAATAACGAGTTGAATCTAGTCTATCTAATGCATACAAGTTGAACTTGCTGAACTCGAGTATATACAAGGAAACTCTGATGAGTAAATTGGTTTTTCACAATTAAACATTTCTTCGTGAGTTTTATGAAATCAAAATTGCTTTTCGACATAGCTTTTTCTAATGGCAGCTAAAAATGTTTTTCCTCTCTTCTCAGCTCCTTGTTTTTCGAAGCGCATCCAGCAGCCTCATCGGCATTCAATCTCTACCGATACGGAAGCTATTTGACGAAAAGGTCAACAAATTAAATTTGGTTGAATACACGGCGCGCACTGCCCCTTCCAGCGCCACCCGTAACCTATAAATATATAGCATTGCATTACCGATATTCGGTGCTTTTTACCTTCCATGGAAATTTGGGATTTTCGGGGGAATGACTTGTGCGGTGTGGATTGCGGTTTGCCCCGGAAGCTCGTATGTTTGTGGAAAATCAAGAATAGGTTTCGTTAGCCGAAAATCCTAAAATTTCGCAGACTGACAGGCTACAAGTTCGACCCAGTTCTCACTTTCGCAGACAGACTGGGTCGAACTTCTGCAGCTTTGGGGCATTTTGCGCGATAGTGCTTCGGAGGCTATGAATTTCCCCAATAATCTCCGCTTGTTGTCCAGGTTAAATAGACTCTATATAGATTATACTGCAGGTTATTGAGCGTAATATCGAAATTGCCTAAACAAACACTGCTAGCAGCTTGCCATAGAGATTGAGGCAAATCCTGTCGAAATTTATTTTTGCCGGGATTTCGTTTTGGCGAAATTCGATTTTTCAAAATTTCATTTAGTCGAAATTCCAATACGCTAAAATTTCTAATTTCAACAAGTTTGAGAGCAATAAACTTCGGAAATAGAATTTCGACAAAGTGAGTTTCGGAAAAAGAAGTGCCGGCAAAAAAAAATCAAAAGATCGGCAAGGAATTTTTGAATAAAAAAAATTAAAAGGACGAAACTAAGCCTAAAACTAGGGATTCCGAGTTTCCGGATTTTTGCAGGTTCCCAGCCTCCTACGTAATAAAAGCCATGTTTTTCCATTCCCAGGCCACTACAGGGCCCACATTGACCCCAGGGGAGGGCCCAGATCTAGGGCCAGAAACGGCGAGTGAATGGCCCATTTCCCGGATTTTCTATGGCTTCGCGCCTCCCGGCCGCCAGGGCCAGATGTCTTCCCTGTCCCTTATTTTTTCAGGCCCGGTGGAGTCGTTCAAAGGAATTGCTGGGAAATCCGGTTACCCATGTTATGCAGCCCCTGCTTTTTTGGGGGGGGCCCATTTTAGCGTTCTGTTATGCTATATGCATGCCGGGGCTCGTTTTCTATGCAGGTAAATAGCTAGCGGGCAGGGGGGCACCCCCGCGTTTGCTTGTTTTGCCTGAACCGGAAGGAAATCGGATTGAGGCTTTTTAAAGGCTTTGTGAAGCAAAAACTCGTTTTTTTTGCACAATTTTTATTAATTAATTTTTATTCAAGTTTTATGAAAATAAGCTGCCGCCGACAAAAATATAAAATTAAATTGAATCAGTGCAATTAATGAAATTGAAATACATAAAAGATATCCTATGTTTGTCGCGCATGACAAAGAAAAACTATATAACCCAGTGTAAGCTACTTTAGTTATCCATTCAATTTAGCCTTTCTTCGTATATTCGCGTCTTTTTGTGGTGGGAGCTTGGCTTTTTTCTATTTTACCCTACATGTCCATTCCCTCTTCCTCATTCAGTTATTCATTCAAATTTTTGCTTTTTCGCGGCGAGACCACCCTGCGAACTTTCTCATAAATCTCCTGCAAGTCCATTTGAAATCCTTGGACTCCAAAAAAACATTCCCGCCTCTAATTGGCGGGAAGCGAAAGTGGAATATTCTGAGGGTGTGGGAATTTAGGGGGAAGTTGTCTAGAAGAACTGAGAGGTCAGGGGATCAAAAAAAGAGAAGGAGCTCTCCCTATCTCTCTCTCTCTCTCTCTCTCTCTCTCTCTCTCTCTCTCTTTCTCCCACTCTCTATCTCGCTCTCTTTCAAGGAGGTCGAATACAGCTCCGTGACTCATTATACTCACCTCATAATTAGATTCGCGACGTTGGGGCACTGGATATGATGCAGTTTTCCAAGGGTCTCTGGGCCTGAATGGAGTTTTAGATTCGACCAATTGTTAGATTTTCGTGGCATTCACCGAATTTTAAAGGCAGTAATGACAGTAAGGTCAGCTGAAATTTTTTTTTGTTTGGTTGCTTGCATAAAAAGGTCATTTAAGCCGATTAATTCTGTATCGAAATAAGCCAAGTGTTTGAAGCTGTTTTTTAAAAACTTAGAATTATTCTAGAAGCCGTTAAATACAAAAACTAGACGCACCAGCCATCCTAAGGTCCATCTGGTTCCTTGCCGCTTAAATTCAGTTCTTTGGTGTAATCCCCTCTCAACTTTATGCGGAAGTGACCAAAAACGCGGGAATACTATTCCACCCGGGCTGACTAGGCTAAGGCTATAAACTTGATAGTGTCGTGCGTCTGCCTGTTCATTTCGCTCCATTTTACAGCCGATGTCCAGTAGCGCATCCCTTTTTTCCGCAAACGTTTCCATTCCCCCGGGCACCAAATTGCCTCAAATGGACATTTCTGGACGTGTGCGTCGCCTTCTGCTGGCCTGGGGAAAGTGTTGCCGTCCAATCTTTTTTTGGTCGGGTCGCTCGACCTTTTTCACGCGGCTTGCCGGCCGATTTCCGCTCCGGGGCCTAATGCTTAAGGGCCAAAAAGTGGCTGAAAAGAAATTCGGAACACCATGAAGGTGCTCGGGTCAATGCACGAATTTTGGGGAATATTTTATTACGTCAATTTTTTGTCATTTTGCGTATTCTGTAGCTTAAAATGCGTATCGCCGCGTAGCTTCGGAAATTGAACGTTTTTAGCTTGAAGTGTTCTAAAATTTGGACTTACGTTTCAGTCCTTACTCATCTCTTCTCTCTTCCCCCTCTCACATCTCCTCTCTGGTTCTCTGTCTCTCTCTCTATCTCTCGCTGTCTCTCGCTCTCTCTCTTCTTCTATTTTCTTGATAGCAGTTCTATCGTTAATCATCGTTTTTCTGCCATCCTCCGCCGATGACTTTTGTTTTCCTGCCGGGCGTATTGACAATCCTTTCCCGGAAAATGAAGCTAATCGGAGCTTTAGCCTATCCGACTAGAAGACGGCAGCTAGCAGCCAACAATATGCGTAGTACGTGCGGATTCTGACGTACATTCGACGTAATTTTTTCTAGCATTTGCTAGGGCATAGGCTTATGCTTAAGCTTTCGGTTCCGCAATTTAACTTGACTAGACAGTACTGAAGCCTTGCAGTAAAATTTTTGACCTCCTTCCTTACGTCCTCATTTCCGGCCCATATCATATTGCCAAGCGCCTTGCTCCTGCTCTCTGTCGTCGTCAAGGTGTGAAAAATTTGAGGCGATCCAGGGGTGACGGGTCGGAAAAAGGCTTCCGCGAAATGAGAGGCAGCATTTCCGAGGGCATCGTCTCGAATTACTAAAAAGGCCTTTTTCTCCGGCACACTTCACGTGGTCTCCGGCTTTCCGGAGCCTTCTTGGTTCTGGATCTTTTGAATTTCCGGACTAAGACGAAAACGATGCTTGTTTTCGGAACAGTGAGCTCGATCTCTTAAACCCGTTTTTTCGAAACGGGCCGTCTCAAGAAAAGCAGTCGAGCAGTCTTAGGCTTATGCTCAAGTCGTACTCATCCCCCGGGAACGCTAGTTTTTAATTATAGCCGATAATCCGGTTGGCTAAGCGCCACCCTTTAAACTAAATTAAGCGGTTAGATCTCTGGTTCAACTTCGTGATCATTGCGGTCAAGCTCATTTTTGCACGCGCCTGGGTTCATCATCGAACTCGTTGAATTCCGGGCATTCTTCACCTTCGAGAGATGGAGGCTCAACTTTCGCACGCCTCGGGGGGGGTGGACTCGTCTTTTGAACCACGAAGTTTTTAGGGCGGTTTTTGGGTTCCTGGCTTGGAAGGTGAGGTGTAGGTTTTGCAGGTTCAGAGAAATCGAGTTCATTCTCCACGAAGCCGGTTTTTGCTGCTAGTTGCAAGCTTCAAAGTTGATTTTGAGCCTTAGTGGGCCCTTCTTGATAAACCGTCAGCTCGAGATTACCTCTCAGCCTCAAGAGTCGAAATGAGACGCCGCGAAAGCTCCTAAAGCTGAGGAGTTCGAGTGCTTCCTGGTGCAGATAAAGCTTCGGAAGCTTTACAAGCTTTGGAACTAAGCCCGGAAATCATCGCTTTTTCTCTTCACACTTCTTGCTTCGAACACTTCAGAAGCAGTGACGTTCCGTTAAAGGTTTTGAAGCTGTTGAAGCCTACTAAGCTAAGCAAGCGCTTTGGGG